TCCTGTTCCTTTTGTGTTGGTTCTAAAGACACTCGGCTTTTGACTGTGGGTTTGATGCCTTCCCATAACTACCCTGCAATCACATTCCTCTTGGGCTGTTGGCTGCAATCTTGAATGTTTTTCAGTAGGCTTTCCTTGTCTGCGTGGTTTAGGTACTGTTTTGAGTCTGCTTCCTTGTCTTGTAAGTTTCTTCTGATTCTTGTGCTTGTTGTATTTCTTTCAAGTATTAGTACTTTTCAAATGACTGGTAATCTTTGGCTGTATGTTCATGTCTGCAGTTGAGAGACCTTGCTAGCTTGGTGATGTTGAAGTTGCTCATTGTACTTTTCCTCCTGGAGAACTCTTAGAAATCTTTCCTGGAGCTGTGTGCTAACAGGCAGTATTTTGAGAGCACATGTTCTTCTTTTCCTCTTAGGTATTATTCCTAGCACTGCTCTGCCCTTCCAGTTCAAGCATGCTCCCTCAATTCTTTCTACAAAATGTGGATGAGTTATACCTCTTTACTGTTCCTGTGAAGTATTCCAGGCCTTTCTTATTAACCTGACATATTAAAGTTGTGATCAATGTGAGTCAGACTGCTTATGCTCTACATCAAAAAATTGTAAGACCTAATATGCTTTTAAGACCTAATGCTACTCGGAAATGGGACGGGAGAGCAGAGAAATCTTCCATCTCCTTAGAATGCGTGAGGCAGAGGTGAAGTATAACCTATCAGGAACATAACTGGTAACTTATAGACAACAGGTTCAAATCAGCATTAGACAATAGTAAGAATACAAAGACATACATGGGGAATCAGAGAGATCCTGACAACCTTTTAATAGGAGGTCATATACACAGAGCGCGGGGGCGGGGGGAGGGGAATCCCAGAGTGGAACAAGGGGATAGGAGGAGGCTTGTATCCCAACCCTAGAGACTCCTGGATCCTCACCAAGGACTATCAGTAAGGGCACCAAGTACTATATCCCAACTGCCAAGGAGACCACGAAGAATTGGAGTGCCTTCGGAGGCCGAGAACTCTGAGGTCATCCACTCCCATTTGGATCTCCCACATGGGATGGAAGAGCTTCACAGGCTTCAAGATCATCAGAACAACAGCCAGGAGTCCTGTGCAGTCCACAGAAACAGAACAGTAAACCTTCTTCGGGAATAGGGAGAAGAGCTTTCTCTGGTCCTTACTTAGTTCCAACTTTGAATCCCCACCCTCTCTTGCAATGACCATCAGGGTCGCTCCTGAGCTGCCCCCCCCCAAACACACACACACACACACACACACACACACACACACACACACACACACACACAAATTAGAATAGATAGATAGAGAACAAGGAAAGCTTGGAACCAGACAGGAAATGGTCAGCATGGACTTACACATGCCTTACTAGGTAGGACACAAAGATTAGTTACTCCCCACTAAGGTATTAAGATTTCTCTGTACACCCCTCCTAAAACTGTTCTGCACCTCAACTGTTGACATATGTCTTGTTAGAGTTATAAGCCAGTTTAGACGGTCCTAAAATCTGCTAAGTTCAGCAAAAGTATGTTTCAATGCTATAAACTGCTAAATACTAAAATGAAAATAGCATGAGACAATTGAATAGTGCCCTATAGCCATTTTAAGCTGTATAGAAGCCAGTAGTATATAAACTGAAATTGAAATGTCAATGAAGTAGTCACAGGATGTGGTTAAGAACTTGCATTTTGTAACATATTGGTTACTCAATACCATGACAATTCCATAATGTTGTAAATTGTTGTTGATGTTATGTTGTGGCTTTAAATTGATTGGGATGATGTTCTGCCAGCTCTGCCTTCAGACCAGAGATGGGCTCCCCAAGAAACCATTGAATTTATCTGGACAATTTGATGCTGGACTCTATATGTTTGCAATGAAAGAATCTTAACTGAATTTGAAATGTAATACAGCAACAAGGTGGAGGAATCCACCATGGGGGGAGGGAACAGGGAAGGGTTAGAGGAATCTCAGAACCTATGAAACTGTGTCACATAATGCAATGTAATTTTTATTTTTATTTTTTATTGTTTTTTTGCAATGTAATTTTTAAAAGTTGTGAATGTCTACTTATCAATTAATTTTAAACTGCAGTTTTATGCTTCAATCCTGTCTCTTTTTATTTCAATGTCTTAAGACTTTTCTACTATTCTATTGTTCTGTTGAAATAATCTCTTCTCCTCTGGTCATGGTAATGAATGTTTATAAATTTCCTTTGGGACAATACTGTGATCTTATTTGGAAGATGAAGCTTCTGCATATGACAAATCCGTGATTAAAAATATCTGTGTCTCATATTTATTGCTACCTTCCTACTTTCCACTATGAATTTATTGTCCAGCCTTCATCACCAACACCTGTCTGGTGCATGAAACTTGAGAAACAAGATCTTTGACATATTGGACAAATATTTAAGCAATGCACAAGCAATTGATCTATAATGTGGTAGTAGCAGTAATTAATGCTTAGGGTCTTACATGCATTAAAGATTGAGAAAGTTAGTTGTTCTGTTCATCTATTTTTCTCATACTTTTTTGAGAAATGGTTTGTAAAATAAAGTCACTAAGTCTCCACAAAACTGCCAGCGTCTCCATGAGAGACACAGAAAAAGAAATACTTTCATTTAAAATATTTCCAATCCAGATATCCAAGAAGTTCCCTTTAATATGGAAATAAGGGGCTAATGTGATAGCTCAACTGGATAATCCTCTCCTTGAAAGCACTGGCACCCCACATTTGAGCTGGTTTGTATCCTAGCTTTCCGCTTCCCACCCAGCATCCTGCTTATAGCTTGGGAAAGTAGCAGAGGATGGACCAAAGCTTTAGAACCGTGCATTTGCATGGGAGACTGAAGAAGCCGCTGATTCCTGGTTTTTGATTGGCTCAGCTGAAGCTGTTGTGGCTGTTTGGGGAGTAAACCAGCAAATGGAAAATCTTTCTTCCTCTCTGTCACTCTTTTCTCTGTAAATCTGCCTTTTCAATTAAAGAAATAAATAAAAAATTTTTAAATTAAAAAGAATATGAAAAGTAAACACTAGAACTGTTTATTTATGCTAACACCATACAGCCTGAAATGACTTTCACAGTGACATCTGTAATCTCCCACTCTTATTGATTACTGTGCTAGAGACAAGTGGGTGTTACAAAAGTGCATTGGTTTATTTAGTCTGAATAAACTAAATGGGATACAACACCTGAATTTTAGGGATGTGATCTAGCTTCAGATAAGATAGTCAAGGTTCAAACAGTAGAATCAAGGTCCTCTCTGAGTCTCCTCTTTTCTTGAATTATTCTGAGGAAGAACCATGGAGCTTCAGCCACACATTGATCTTTTATTAAACCATAAATGCAAAAACCCCAGCAACTCCAATCAACTCTGTATAGACTAGTCACTTATGCAGAGCATGGAGCATTTTGGTGGATGATAGGGGCCAAGGAGAGGTATAATCACATGGTTTAAAGTCCTATTTGTGCGATATAAAGTAGAAAATGTGCAGTTCTTCCAGAAAACAAGTGCTCTGCTACCAGAATATAAGGTGCTGGTTAGGATAAGCAGCGCATGTATAGAAGCAATGAAGAGCACATACGAGATTCAGTCGTATTTTCAATCACTAATCCTTTTTGTTCAAGAAGCTTTTAAAAATTTTACTTACCCTGCACAGGTCATATAATATGCTAATTTATTGGTTTATTTAGTCTGAATAATTTATTATATTTCTGAGGTTTCAAGTTAGAGAACAACTGGAATATCACACATGAGTGCTTAGCTCTGAGGGAAATATGATTTAGTTGTATGATTTAGTTTACTTGTAATGTTTTATACATTTGAGTATATACAGACACATATTTAACATTTCTAACACAGTGTTGCCAATTAGATAGTAATGATGCTATGAGTGAATGGAAGAGGGAGTGGCTGAGTACGCCTATCTGGATCTGGTACTCAAAGGAAACTGGAGTAATGAGATTGTATTGTCTGGAGAAAGCAACAAAGCATGTTCTGATGTTCTGGCACCTGCCCACCAGGCACCTGTCCTGACTCTTGACCCTCATGATAGCTCCTCAACAACTTGTGACATCCAGAATTACACAGAGGAAGGAGTGAACATCAGGAGCCTGAAACTCATCTTTTCATTTGGGACACTGGGTTACAAAGAGTTAAGATGATTCATCTATCCAAAGTCTTTAAGCTTTAGGCAATAATACAACTAAAGGTAATGAACTGTAGGAACTAAGCTCCATGAAACATAGTGTAGTATACTTTCACCTGTGTTATCTTGTACTCATGGGTAATAACTGTTGTGCAACTAGGTGATTCGGTTAGTGACAGTTATTGTAGGGAAAGAAAAGTTATAGCTTTTCAGGGTCCAGCTAGCCTTGCTTAGGATTTTGGTGCTCCCCAATGACCAGAAGAATTGGTTCACAGAACACCATCTTCAGCCTGATTTTAATGAGAGAAATAAGCACATGAGACTTTTTGTTTCCAAGTATGTATTTTACACTTATTTTAGTGGTTCTACTTTCTACTTATCAAAGAGAAGACCTTTTACCTACAGATGTCTTATCTTCTCACTGGCAAAGAATAATGTGGCTCAGATCAACAGTGTAAGTCATTGGGCCCAGCTCAGTAGCCTAGTGGCTAAAGTCTTCACCTGGCATGTGCCGGGATCCCATATGGGTGCCAGTTCAAGTCCTAGCTGTTCCATTTCCCATTCAGCTCCCTGGAAAAAGCACTCCAGGAAGGCCCAAAGCCTTGGGACCCTGCACCTGTATGGGAGACCGGGAAGAGGCTCCTGGTTCCTGGCTTTGGATTGGCTTAGCTCTGGCGGATGTGGCCACTTGGGGAGTGAATCAGCAGATTAAGGATCTTTGTCTCTGTTTCTCTTTCCTTTTATAAATCTGACTTCCCATTAAAAATAAATATTTTTTAAAAAAGAGTCATTTTCATGAATATTTTTAGTTTCATTTCAAATATTTATTTATTTAAGAGAGAGAGGGAAAGAGAAAGAGAGAGAGCTACCACTCTCTGATTCACTTCCCCAATGCCTGCAATGGTTTTAGTGCCCAAAGTCAGAAATAAGGAAGTCTTTCACATGGGTGACAGGGGACAATGACTGAGCATCCCAGGGTCTGCAGTAGTGGTTAGTGGGTAACTTGAGATAGAAACAGGAGGTTGGTATCGAGCCCACATCCTCTTGAACTGGGATGGAGGTGTCCCTGTCATCTAACACCTGCACCTGGCTCCATTTTAAATTGAAAATTCCTATTAGAAATACTTCAATGATTGCATTTCACAGACAAGTGTTAGCTAGCAAATATAATTTAATAATATATTAATCTGATTTCCTACTACATGTTGAGGTGGGTGGACTTCATTTGTATCGTATGCAATTGTTATATCCCAGGCATCAATGATGCCTACATTTAGATCCTGGAAAATGTCCTTTATAGTAAGATATTGAATATAACCATGAAAGTTGCCAAATCTTTCCACATCACTGTTCATCTCCCGGGTATTTTCTGTTTTGATGACAACCAGGGTGTCTGGGCTTCTCAGAAGAAGACGCTCAACAGCACTGTGGATATTGAGGACCCTTCTGATAAAAATGTCAATGGGGAAAGGTCTGAAATGCTGACCCAGAGAAATCACTATGACAGTATTCTTATCTCCTCCAATTCTGTCGATGGCCCGGGCAATGTATTCAATCTCCTTAACTGAGTAGGTAAGTGATCCAATCAAAGGGTAAGCATGTTTTTGCCACTGGATGTTGATATTCCTTTCCAGGTCCACAGCAAGCTGGTGGCGCAACTTTCCCGACTCATGCAAATCCACTGACTTCAGTGCTGATGGCAGATAATCCCAAAGGGAAAGGAGAATAAAGTTACAACAGGGTAGACCAGTCATAAACATAGCACAACTTGGTGCTGAAGTTAAGCTAATCATGCTTTCAGTATAGACTTACACGCAAGATGCAAGATCCCAGGATCATTTCGGATCCAGAACTTTGAGGAATCAAAAGTGTCATACAAATATAAGAAATAATGTATGCCCTCTTTCTAAAAGCAAGTATTCATTTATGTTTAAATTTTATTTGAAATCCAGAGACAGACAAACAGATCTTCCATCTGTTGCTTCATTCCACCAAAGGCCACAACAGCCATGGTTCGAGGAGGCTGACGACAGGAGCTGGGGATTTTATCTGGGGCCTCCTGTGTAAGTAACAGGGATCCAAGTACTTGAGTTGCGCCTGCTGCTTCCCAGGATGAGCATCTCCAGGAAGCTGGGTCAGAACTAGAGCAGGTACGGTTTGAATCAGGCACCCCAATGATGAGATACAGCCATCCCACCCAACAGCATGATCACTTTGTGAAACACTTGCCCTTATTAATGCCCTTTTGTACAAATATGTAGAATGAAATAGAATGAGTATATGTCATTAAGATATATCTGGAGGATGATGTATTTTCTAAGTATTATTTTGTACATGTTATAAACTACAGACTAAACTTATTTGACAAAGTTTCTCAAGTAAATTGATGTTACTTATGTTTAAATAGCAAGCCAAGTATTTTTCCAAATACTTTGTAAATCCACTTAAACCTTAGATTATAAGGTCTATACTTTTGTGTTGTCTCTGTATGTGCATGGAATTGAACCAAGCACAAAATCTCTCATAACAATAGTATAAATCTTTTTATGGTTTACAAGCATTTATTTAGCCCATCACAGTCATTTGTTTGCATGTAAATAGTTGCTGTAGAAAAAAAGAGCAGAAATCACTTTCCCAGTTTAAACAGTTCTTCAGAGTCCTAAGCAGCACTAAAACTTGAACTTTCCTTTATTTCTTACAAAAACATGCTATCTAATTATGACACTTATGAAAATAAATATAATATGAATAGAATAAAATGAAATCCTTCTATTTTTCAGTATACTAATCAATCCCTGATCAGAATGTCAAAATCAGAAGCTTTACAGTCAAGACTTCTGAGGAAAATGTGTAGCAAAGAATTAGTGCTTGACACTGTGTTCCATCTAAGAGGTAGAAGGCTAGACTCAAGCTCTGAATCCAAGGAGGCTTGAAAGTAGAGTTGGTGGACACTGGGGAGGAAAATGGGAGAAACGTGTTCTTCGTTCTTTAATTATCTTTGGCTTTCTTTTCCACAGAGTATACAATTTAACTTTTGACAATTTGTATAGCAGCTGCTTTCTGGGAACAACTAGAAGATAAACTGAAGAGGGTACTCAATAACTCAGTACTTTATACAACCCCCAAGACTCATGATTGTAGAATGCAATGCTAAAGATTTCACCACATCCTTAATTTTATGGAGGAATAAATTGAACTCTTGACAAGTTCAACCATTTGTGAGAGGTCACAATCTAAAGCTGCCCTTCTGCTGCTTTTAACTTGGAGACAAAACCTTACTGAATTTTCCCTTTTTATGGGGGAGGCAATTTTTCTTTCTAAATTTGAGATTACAAGGGTGACCTCATATCAGGAAGGGGCAGAATGGATCCACAGCATTGCTCTCTATAGAAGAGCCAGGGCTCAGGTATGTTAGAGACAGTGATGGCTTTCTGGGTAAAATAGCTAAGTTTGACTGGTGGTTTTTGAATGATTACTAGTGTATACATGATTCAGGGAAAGAGCAGATAACCTAGGGTTATAGTAACTGACTCCAGTCCCAGCTCTAAAATTAACTTGGCAATAATCAGAACAGCTTCCATGTGCCAGTGATGCTCACAATGTATTAACTGCTTTATGTCCATTACCTTACTCAATCCCCTAAGCAAGCTTGAGGTACTACTTATAATTACTCCTGGCTGATGAGGAAGTGAGACAGAGAAAGGGAACAACATGCACAAGGTCAATGTTTTAAACAGCTCAGTGTAGATCTATCAGACCCCAAAGTCCAAGCTTAATCATTATACTCAGCTGATACAAAGTCATTGCCTTTCTCCTACCATATGCCTTCTCAGGTAAGGATAATAATGACGCTAGCTTACAGCAGAGAACTTCACATTTTAGCTAGCAACATTCTAAATTGTACTCTAAACAGTGTAGTATATGTGACCTCATTTTACCAAGTGAGTACTCTTTTCCTCTCTGTTGACAAATGTGGAAACTGAGGGACAGAAAGGATTTCTCACCAATATAAAACACCCCAGGCCATCTCAACTAGAACTCAAGCATTAATCATTGTTCTGACCCCAGAGGGCACCCAATTTAATATATTACCATACCTTTACCTCCATTAGTATTTTCTGAGCATGCTGAAGCATGTACTCTGCAAGAAAATAACTTTTTAATTTATAATAATGTTTAATAATATCTTTTCTAAGCTGAATCTCTTCCACCAGATTAATATCTTCTTTTAAAGATAACAACATATGGTGAAAAATGATGCTATGTTTTGATTTAGAAATATGTTATTCAGAAGGCAGGTTCCATATTCTTTTCTCCCTTTGAAATGATAAAGAAGTTTCTGAAAAGGATAGGAATAGTAGATAGGAAGGAGGCATACTGTGCACGTTGGTTTGGAAGTATTCCATCCACTGGCGGATCGTGGAGTCTCCCATCAGATGGATGAATTTTCCTCTCAGGCACTCCTTCATTTCAACAGGAGCTAGGCTGCAGGAGGCGGGTTTCCACATGCCCTTCCAGACATGCCCACTGGGGAGTGCAGATGTCATTCCAAACTTGCATTTTTCCCCCACTGGTGCTGTTCCCTCTGCCAATGAGTCAGTAAAACATCAGATCATCAATAGGTGTTAATAAGAGCCTTTCAGCTTTGCTCTTCACAGAGGAGGGGAGAGGTGGTAGTGAGGGAAGAGAACCGCTGAAGGGTCTCAACATGCTTGAGCTACTTTTCAGCAGGACTTTTCCCTGATGTGAATGCCTACATGTTATCCACTAAAAGACATGTTTCCTCTATTAAAAAATCCTTCTGGGTAAAACTTAAGTGTTAAACCTCTTACAAAAGTAAAATCATCAGTTCTTGCATAGTAATGAAAGCTCCATAATCTTATAATTTAGCCTACCTCACTGGTATATTTGTCATACTCTCTGTCAGTGTATTCAGTGCCACCTTCAAAGTATCTATTGTTTGAGTTAAATGTAGGGTTATATATATCAAATAATAAACTAGTTTGGCTTGGGAATTGACCAATCAAAATGAGTAGCAGGTGTAGGCTGGAAAGAGGTCTTTCCCAGGTGTTAACCCTTCACTGACTGGTTTATGAAGAGTCTAGGAATCCGGGGTCTGAGGTGACTAGGACGGTCAAGAGCCACTCGTGGCTGAGGGCAGTGATTGGTCATGAACCAAAGGAAGATACCGAACATTCTCAAAATAGGGGCCGCTTCCATGTATCTGAGATGAAAACTACCATTTCTGTGTCCAGGTACATATTTACACTTGCATATAGACAAGTTAACTGGCAAGATTTTAATGCTAAACTCACGGAGACAGAAAAGTTTTTACTTTAAACCATTTCACGTAGTGATTTTCTAAGCTGTTTTGAGTAAAAAATGAGAAGTTAACAAATGTAAATATGGAACGTTTTGTATTTTGAAACTCTTTGGTGAGAAAAACCAAGAGGATAGAGTTAAAATGAGTTGCCTCCTTAAATAACAGGCTGGAAACCTCTAGACAGTGACTCAGGCTAGCAATGATGTGAGAAGTGGTGATGGTGGTGATGTGGAGAAGGGAATTTGGAGAAGTAAACAACTCGGCATAGGACTAGAAGAGAGTTTTAGTGTTTGAAGGCTAACATATAGGATAGGCAGGTAATCTGAGGAGTAGATTGATGAAGAAAGAAACTAAAACAGGTGTATGAAGTCCAACTGATTCCAATCTTTCATCCACTTAGTACCTGTTATCTTGGCTGCCTTAGGCATCCAAATGAGCAATGTGTCTATAGGATGGGAACAGTGAGCTTGTCGGTGAATCCAGCACTAAACACCACCCACCAAACACAGAAGCACTTACTGTTGCAATTGGAGACACTAATCATTTTGAAGTTTTTCAAAATCTCTACACCCACATTTGACCTTAAAAGATAAAAAGAGTAATTAATCTGAAAGTGGGTCCAAACCAAGAAGCGCTTGAGAAGTGACTGATTCGTGCTGAAGTTATTTCTCCATGGTAAGTTGAGTACTGTGCCAACAGTTACAGGTCATTCAATAAGTTTTCACTTATTTGCTTATTAGTCTGTAGAATACAGTAACTAAGAAGGTATGTAAGATGATTTTTTAAATTCACAAAGTATATTAAAGTGAAAGGTCCAGCATGGTAGCCTAGTGGCTAAATCCTTGCCTTGCAAGATACCTAGTTCTTATCCCCATTTACTTTTTATTCTATCTATGTAATATTATATCTTATTGATAGAAGTTAAATATCCTACAAGTTGGGGGCACTTCAGGAGAGTGCACACTGTCCCAAATAAAGTAACAGATTCTTTCTCAAGTGATTCTTGTTAAAAAAATCACCAAGTCTATACTCTCAGCAGACTTTCCTTTAGATTGACATACAGGCCAATCCCAACATACACCCAGGCATTCTTCAAGAAACAACGATTTACCTTACAAAGAGGCTCTGTTCTTGATTGCTAAGGTAAGATGCTTTTGTATTCTTGGAATGCATGTGAGTGAGTGCAGCACAGGGCAGGCGTGAGGGCTTCAGGCAGTAAAAGGCTTCTTGGTCTTGAGCATCCAGGTACTGGCATAACTCGGCACTTGAATTTAAAACCAGCGCACAATCAGTATTGACCTTGGAGTTGCCACTGGAAAACTGACCTGTGAAGATCACTCTGTCATAGCCTTGGTTCCTTGCCCGCCAGAGAGCTGCTGCCCCTTCACTGGGGTGGATGAGCAGCACAGAAAGAGAGACCTGGCCTTCCCAGAACAGAGTGAAGCTGACAAGATAGGTGCCATTGTTGAAGTCGGTCACCTTTCCTGAAGCTCCTGCCTTCAGGGCTGGGGAGGACATCCTGGCCCTCAGGAAATCCCCACCGTATTCCTTCCTGTGACCCAAGTGGTCCTTCATCTCCAGCAGGATGTGCAGCTGGTCCCCTGTGCAGTATGAGTCTTGAGGGTTGAGGATGGTGGCTTTACTTTGTGTGGCACTAGTTGTAGCATTTATGTGTGTGAAAGGCCTGGGTGGGATCAGCTGGTTTATTTTTTCCATAGTTTGTTTTATTTTCAGATCCATTTCTGCTGTTGAAACCAGTGAACATTGTGGTGATTTTGAATGTGAAGATTTTTTGATGAAACTCCAGTTTTGGAAAGAGACTGGCAACTCAAGTGCAGTCCATATCTGAAATGATAACAGAGAACAGAGTGAATGGACTCGATTTATTGGAGTAACTTTTGGTGGATTACCTAAGTTCAATCTCTCACAGAGTCATAACAGCTGCAAAAATTAAATGATACTGAAATTTGAAATTGATGTATGTATCACAGAATAAAATCTTTTTTTTGTTGTTTGTTTGTTTGTTTTTTAGAAATACCTCCTCCTGATAGCCAATCTTTTTGGAAGAGTCGTTGAGTCCTAAAGAGTCCTATGACCTTATTTCTTAAAATGGAGGCATCAGGTCCAGAGCAGTAAGCCTAGTGGCTAAATCCTCACCTTGCCATTGCCAGGATCCCATTTGGGTCCTGGTTCGTATCCTGGCTGCTCCGCTTCCCTTCCTGCTCCCTGCTTGTGCCTGGGAAAGCAGTAGAGGATGACCCAGAGCTTTGGGAGACTTGGAAGAAGCTCAGGCTCCTGGCTTTGAACTGGCTCAGCTCCATCCCTGTGGCCACTTGGGTAGTGAACCAGGGAATGGAAGGTCTTTCTTCCTTTCAGTAAATCTGCCTTAACAAACAAAAAAAAAATGGTGGTGACCAAAAATCTACTGAACACTGGACAGTTATGAAGATCAAATGAGAAATTGCTTGTAAGTGGCATAGCAGAGAAAAGCGCTTATAATTCCATCTAATAATTCCACACTAAGAGTGTTTAATCCTTGACAAACATAACCTGAGAAAGTTAGTCACCACTTGATTTGTGTTATTATCCAGAATTCTTCAACTGAGAGCAAATGAAGCTAAATAGTAACACAAAAATATATGAAATCATGAAATTCATTGGCAATATATTTACACAGATTCAGAATATTCTAATACTTTAACTGTGGTATATGAGTTGCTTGTAATTTTAGTATATTTAGCAATAAAAGGCAAACTGTTAAAATAATAGTAGCTGCAATATTTTGTTAAGGGCTATATAATAAAAAATACATATTGTGACACTGAACATTTTAAATGTGGAATGTGATGAATTAAAACTGTAAAGTTTTGTGCAGGCAAACTTAGGTTTCTATTAGGTTTAAATAGATTTTTGCAACTAAATATAAGGCTTTTGTTTTGCATGCTTCAGGGGAACCACAAAGAAAACACCTAAAGTAGAGAAATAAATGATTAAAAAAGCAATTAAAATACACCACTGAGAAAATGAATCACACAAAAAAGCAAAATTGTAAGAAAGGAATAAAAGCTTTCCAAATAAGCAGAATATAGGAGACAATGCCTTGGCGTAGTAGGCTATCCCTCAGCCTGCTATACTGGCATCTCATATGGATACTGGTTTGTGTGTAGGCTGCTCCACTTACCATCAAACTCCCAGTACATGGACTGGGAAAGCAGCTAAGGATGGCTCAAGTGTTTGGGAACCTACACCCCATGGAAGACCCAGAAGAAGCTCTTGACTTCAGGCTGTTCCAGCTCTGGCTAATGTGGTCTTTTGGAGAGTGAAACAGAGGTTGAAGTTCTCTCTCCCTGTCTTTCCCGCTCTCTGTAACTCTGCCTTTTAAAATAAAATAAAATAAAATAAATCTCTAAAGCAAAAATCAGGAAACAACTAACAAATGACAGTTCTGTAGGTCTTTAGTTTCAATAATTGCTGTGAATATGAGCGGATTAACTTGTCCAATCTAAAGTCATAAGGTAGCTGACAGAATAATGTAAAGCAGCAACCGATTGTGTGCAACCTGCAATGGTCCTGTAAAGAAACACACAGACTGAAAATGAAGGGATTGGAGAAGTCATTTCACGAAAATGGAATCCAAATGAGTTCAAAAGTAACTAAATTTAGATAACATCGGTGTTAAGTAAAATTTCTGCAGTAAGACAAAGAAGATAAAGGGACAAGTCACCAGGACAAACTGACTCTTTTTTAGGCCACAAAAATGAGTCCTAAAGAATGTAAGAAGATTGAAATAATATCAAGCATCCATTTGATTGCTCAAGCATCTATGTTGGCCACAATACCACAAAACTAGAAATCATAATAGGAAGTATTTCCGACAAGTCACAAATACATCCGAATTAAGTGTCATGCTTCTAAGAAACTAATGGCTTAAAGAAGAAATTAGAAGGGGATTTTAAAATAGCTTGAACAAAAGAAAATTAATATGTAACATACCAAAACTATGAAACTCAGCAGAAACATTTCCAAGGGAAATTTGCAATAAAAAATGTTCACATTGAAAAAGAAAAAGAGGCATTATCATGATGGCGCAACTAGCTAATTCTCAGCCTGAAAGCACTAAGATCCCATATGGGTGCTGGTTCGTATCCTGGCTGTTCCACTTCCTATCCAGCTCTCTGCTTGTGGCCTGGGCACAGAGTAGAGGAAGGCCCAAAGCCTTGGGAGGCTGTATCCATGTGGGAGACCTGGAAGAGGTTTCTGGATCCTGGCTTCAGATTAGCTCAGTTCCAGCAGTTGCAGCCATTTGGGAAGTAACCAGATCTTTTTCTTTGTCCTCCCTCCCTGTGAAATTTGCCTTTCCAATAAAAATAAATAATGAATGATTATTCTGATGCTATGCCTCAAAGAACCAAACAACAACAACAACAACAAAAAACCCAGAGAACAAATAGCCTTCAAAATTAGCAGAAAGGGCATAACAAAAATTGGTAGTAGAAATAAATGAAATAAAAAATAAATTAAATAAATCCAAGAAAAATAATAGAAGAGATAAATAAAATCATGAGTTGATTTTTGTGACAACTCAAGCAAGTTGACAAGCCCTAAGCTAGACTGAGAGAAAAGGAGAGTTAAATAAAATCAGAAATGAAGACGTGTATATCACAATTGATTTGACAGAAATGTAAAGATCTAAGAGCCTAATTAAGCAATAATATGCCAAAAAACTGGATAATTTAGAGGAAATGGGCAAATTCTTAGTCGTAAAGTATCTATCAAGATTGAGCATGAAGAAATAGGAAACCTGTCCAGGTCAATAATGAATAATGTGATCAAATCAGTAATAGTCTCCCATCAAGGTCGAAGATTTAAAGGCTTTACTACTAATTCTGTTTATTTTTATTTTTAAAATTGTTGATGATATTTACATAGTTGATCAGGGTGGGAAGGATCAGGGTTAGGGGAAAATGGGTGAGACCATTGTTTCCAAATTTTCTTTTTCTTCCTCCTGTATCTGGGGAAAGAGGGGAGACAATGGGAGCAGCCTCACCTAGCCTCCCAACCGCCCAAGTAGCTGGGGATGGGAAAAGGCCACGTGATATCAACCCAGGGTCTCCTATGCGGAGCATGCTTTGCGGGTTCTGCTTAAGTGTTTTTGATGGTTTGGAAATGCTGTTGACCACGCAGATCTAAGAATGAGGAAATCCTTCCCAGGTTCATTGGCTGACAAGGTCCACCTTATAGTTTCCATTTGTTGAGATACTTGCTGTCATCTCTTAGTTGGGGTAGTTGTCCAATTTATTCTGCCCTCCTTCCTCTGATACATCAGATGTTCTCTGCAGACCCTAGTGGGCTGCCATATCCTCCATGTGCATCTGGGTATGCTGTCCACTGCTCCATCTTTTCCATTGAGGGGGCCTAGTTCTGACACATGCACTCCACAGTCAAGCTACAGATCCTGCAATTCTCCCCATTGTTGAAGTTCTGAGTCTACCAGTTTAGTAGAGGTGGGGTATCCCCAAACAGACCTCATTTGAGGTGGTCCCAGACCAGACCTTTGTATGTGCTTGACAGTGTGGGATCGGATCAGTCTGTCACCCACATTAGCCCTAAAGCACACATTGGTAATTCCAATTGCTGGGTCAGTTTTGTCTCCAGCTCCATTTCTTACACTAACCAATAGATGCTATGGCTCAGATCAATGCAGCCCACTAAACACTCAGCCTCATGTACACCAGCAGGAACTTCAGCCTAGCTGGAGCAACCTCTAATAACCCCCCACTAGGCCCACATCTTGCCCTGGCTCCAGGGCTTGCCTGTATGTGCAGTGGACTGGTTCAGTCTGTCCTGTATCCCATTTAGCTCTTGTACACACATATGGGCATTGGAGCCTCTTTCAACCCAACTGACCCTAATATCCAGCCCACACTCATGCTGGTGGATACCACCACCTATCTAGCCAGGCCCTGCCCCAGTCTTGTTTCTCATGCTCACTAGTGGGAGTTGCAGCCCATCAGAGAGGCACTCACAGTTTCCCTACTGGATCTGCTCCCATTCCTGGATCTTGCACTCTCCAGGTGGTTCTGCAGTCTAGCTTGACAGGATTTTGTCCTCAGTCCCAGCACTTGCCAGCCGATTCAGCAGCAAAGCCCAACCAGCCTGCACTTACTCTGGTTCATGCATGCACAAGTGGATATAGTCACTCAGCCCCACCTGGCTCTCCCCTAACCAGCTCACATGCAAGCCAACAAGTATTGTAGCCCTGTCCGACCTGGTCTGCCTCCAACCCCAGTTTTCACACTCACCAGTTGGAGCACTGACCCAACAGGGGAGCCCACAGAGACCCCTCTACTAGGGCTTGCACACCTCCCCCTGGGTCTCATGTATACTGGTGGGTGCTACAGCCCAGTCTGGCATGGCCAGCTTCACCTGGGCATTTGCCAGTGGGTACTGTAACCTGGCTTGGCTCAGTGTTTGCCTGAATCTAGGTCATGCAGGAGAATGCTGCAGCCTAACCTGGTTCAGCCACTTCCCAGTTCCAGCCCTAATGTGAACTGGCTGGTGCTGCGGCTTGGCCCAATTGGTCCTGCAACTCATCCTGGGTCTCAGATCTGCCAGTGGGTGCTATGAACTGACCCAGCCTGGGCTGTCTCCAGTCTTGACCCACAAGTATATCAGTACATACTGTAACTTGGCCATGTCTGGGCTGCTCTTTGCCTTTGCAGGGACTGTGTCCTGACTGAAGAGTTCCCCTAGCTCCTCTATTGGATCTCCTCCCAGTGGCAGATCTCAGGCACACCACTGGGTCCTTGACTCCGACTGACTTAGTCCACTTCCTGTCAAGGCGG